AATTTTGTATTTTTCGGAACTCCTACACTTACTAACAGACAAGCTGACAAACCGAATGCTTTATTGTGATGAATTTTTGTCTACTTCCTTAATGTTGAAGGAAACCCCGTCAGTGTAAAGGTGAACGAAACATTTTGCAATCTCTTTCTTGAGTTTCACAACATCGAGAACAAAATGCAAGTTGATTCGTACCTTTTCGGCTGACACAGGAATTTGCTTGTACATGGTACTGGGATTCCCTTTCTCTCTTAGCTGCTGGGCTGTTTGAGCCAGCTGTTGTCTAGGAGTGTTTTTCAATGAATGAAGCATGTCCTTGGCTTTCATCCTTTGAAGTTTCAATCTGTTAAGATGAAGCAATTAAGTGATTATGCTGGCTGCACGTCACTTTCACTGACTCTTGCGAATACTTGTAATTCCATTTCGACGTTCATGCCTGAATTCGTGATGTGTTCAGCGTAGCCGCTCCTCATGTCTGCACGCTCTTATGGGACTGTGGAGGCAATGAACAGAGTTAATTTCTCTACAGTTTTGATGTGATTTAGTGGATGTGTCCTATCTCAAGAGCACTTTCTCAATAAAAGGTGCCACATGTTGCAATTTCAATTACGGACTACAAAATTGAATATCTATAAAACGAAGTCAATTCTGAAACCGCGAGGTCAGCGTCTTCAACGATGTCTTTCATGTACGAGTCAAGTGACTGAAGAAAATATCAGAATTTCTTACACTCTCAAAGAGTTTCTGGGTGTGAAACACGAATTTTAAGATATAAAAAATAAAACCAAATCACAAAGGTAGAGTAGAATAAACAAAATAAACATCAGGAAGTGGAAAATAAACAGAAGAGAGGGGAGAACAGAATATTTCTGCAGAAAAAACGCCCTGAAATGCGTGAGACACTTTTACGAACGACTCAGGTGGAGTTGAATTGAATCGAATTATTCTATTATTATTATTATTATTATCATTATCATCATCATCATTGTCATTATCCTGACTAACATTTCTAGTGATGGTTCTCAGTCGCTGCAAGAGAATTTCGAGTTCATGCTTCAATTTCGACGTGACCGCTTCGTTCAACATATTTTTCCAATTCATTATTCGGTAATAATCTTATCATTCGGCGCTATATACTCTTATATGTACACAGTAGTACTAAATAAACTGAAGATAAGGAAATAAATAAATACTAATATAACAAACTTTGAGAATTCAATGTCAAGTCTCATATTTGTTACATAAACTTCCGTACTATCAACTACGCTGCTTTCCCTCGTATTGGTTTCCAGCCCTACATGTAATTCAATGATACCTCAAGGCAGACGTTTAATACCTTTACCCACGAATAATACACGCAAACAGTCAATTGCAAACCTTCTCCCTTATATAATTTACTGCACTGAATTTATCTTCATCCAAATATTGGTATTACTCACTGAATAGACACGATATCACTTGTTCATGATCTACTGCATAACTTAGCGTTCATACAGCGCGATAAGGCTAATTTCTTGCTGTTAACCGAAATTGAGTAAATCCCGAAATTTCCTCACACTGTTACGTTAATTTTTGGTGTACAGAGAGAACTGCAGGCAGAATTCTGGCATCGAAGGTTTTCTGCCCTTTCATATATCCCAAGTTTCGTAATGTGATAATTCCGTGTGCTGCCTCTGTACCTCGTGGCGTGCCTCAGTATCAATTAGCCAGACCGCTGCGCTGAGAATAGCAGCAGCTTGTATTACTTATACAGACGTTATTTTATGTGGAGATTTGGACGCACGAAATCCCCCATGCATGTCTGCGTCTGGCTCAGACAGTATCATACATTATTGTTACACGGATACGAGGCAACAGTAAGCATTCATCACCTTCACCGACATCATCACTGCTAGCTTTGTGCGCAGAAGAAAGCACACCAAGGGGCCCGCTCTTCCCCCTCGAGCAGCAAGGAGCAACTATCTTCAGCGGCGGTACAGAAAAGGACTTCGACGTTGTTGCTTCTGCTGCTGCAGCAATTTGAGGCTATTTTTCATTATTGTAGAACAATACAAGACATCTCATTGTTGTATAGTTTGCATGGAAACAATACAAGAACTATGATAGGGTCAAGCCAATAGTGGCTACCTTGTGAGCGACTGGTAGGCTGCCTGTGAAAATATGTACTGGGGGAGAAGGTTAAAGAATTCTTTTCAATGACGATGGAAAATTCAATTTTGTCTCATTATTATGAGTTGCTTTAATTATGTTTTATACGTAACATTGTCAGAATTATATGTTCAAATTTGCTGCAAGTGGTATCTGTAAGTAAAGTGAGGTGTTTGATAATCACAGTTCGATTGGGCCGCGCCATAGCTCAGGCGGCTAGTCGCTGGCTTCCCACCGCGGCGGCCCGGGTTCGATCCAGGGTCTGGTCAAGTGGGATTTGTAGTGGAGAAAGTGGCGTTGGGGCAAGTTTTCTACGAGTACTTCGGGTCCCCTGCCAATCTTCATTCCATCAATTGCTCCACCATCAACCTCACCTATCATCTGGGGTTGGTATAATAGGCCAAATGTGGCAGCAGTACAACGGACTTAGTCCCACCCCACTAGCAATAAAAAAAAATAATCACAGTTCGATACGCATTAAATGCGAGGATTAGTCTGTTTTCTAACGTTACCAGACCGACTGTAGGGTCCGCCTCTTGTCCTGCTCAATGTGAACTGCAGCTTTTACTCAGGCACTAAAACGAGAAGGAATCTGACACCTGCAACTCACTTCCCTTTGCTGCCTAGTTTGCCATTTGCTTTCACGCTGGTTTCTTCCTCGTCTTATTCTTCAGCCCTTACGTGGAGGCAATATGTGCTTCCGAAACGTCGGTTAGCTTTCAACACACTGCATGACGTTTCGTCAGAGAAGATAGAACTCTTCTTAATTTAGGGAAAGTTGAATCATTACCTCCATTTTCTCTTCCTCCTGGATTGGCGTCAGGGGCAGATTCACTTCTTCCTTTTGATTTTATGCAAACTCATCAATCAAAAGCAGAATTTATATCTGAAGTAATCCATTCTAAAAAATCGTTGTCTCCTTACTGACCTGCAGAGCTAGCTCATCTGACTGCCCTTGGCCTGAGTCCTCTTGTGGTTGTTGGCATTATATTGGGCTCCATCGAGTGTTTCTCATAATATTTAACGTTTACGTACGAACTGCGTTTGGTGAATTCGTTAGGCCTGTAAAGCTGATGAGTGGTTTGTAATGAGGCTCTCACTACTCAGCCGTGTGAGTGTATACCGACATTCATCTGTAAACACTCAGGAAACCCACGAAAATCATGAGTAAAATAGGTGATAGTCCAGTCTGAATTCGAACCGGATACCTCCACGAAATGAGTTTGTTAGATGCATCCCCGCGTAAATTAAATAGTATTACTATCGAGAAAATTACAGATTTGCGTAATAATAATCTTGACTAGCTGAGCGAGTGCTAACTGTTGAAGAAGGTCTATGCTCCATGGAGTTCATATTGTATAAGAATAATGATAATGATGATGGCAATGATAATAATAATAATAATAATATAATCTGTTAAAGTGCTTGACGGCCGGCCACGGTAGCCGAGCGGTCTAAGGCATGTACTGTCTTCGCTCGTTTGGAAACCGGGATCGTGGGTTCGAATCCCAATCAGGGCATGGATGTTTAGTTTGTGTGTGTGCGTTTTTCTGTGTTTTTATGTAGGTAGAGGCCTTGCGACGAGCTGATCACCCGTCCAAGGAGTCCTATCGAATGTGTAAGATCTAGTGAACCGAAGTGAAACGGAGAGTTTCATGGAGGTAGGCCTAGGCCCACTGGGGCTGTAGTGCCAAGGGAAGAAAAAAGTGCCCGACATCAGCCAAAAATAATTTAGAGGCAAACACTGGAAAGGGAAAAATTCATTACTGCTGAAAATACACAGAGAACATAATATTGTAAAATAAGTAACGTAAATAGCATCAGGAATGTGAACACAAAAACCTTAAATATTATTACAGGTGCTACTGACAGATTTCACAGTGCCAGTTAGAGACAATTTCTATTAAAAATAACGCAGTATCTACATGTAATCGAGATGATAATATTTTTCTATGGCTCTTCCAGCTCAGTCAGGGCCCTGGTCTCTTATTTAGTTCCATAATCATATTTCACGGACTGTAAGACCACCTGGACGAGTGATCAGCCCTTCATGAGGCCACTACCTAAACACAGGACAACTCAACACAGAATAAACGCATACACACAACAAACATCCATGCCTTGAGTGGGATTCAGACCTACGATCTCAGCGTCCGAGCAAGCGAAGGCAGTTCATGCCTTAGCCCGCGCGGCTACTGTGACAGGCTGATAATGATAAAAATAATAATAATAATTCATATGTCTAGTTAGTCAAACAGCTATAAGAAAATAATACAATGAAAAGAGCCCTTCTTGAGAAGCTGACATTTTTTGATAAGGTCAATACTCGTAAATTTCGAAACTTTTGTAGAATCCCTAAATTCATTACTTTTTTCACAGAAGTTCGCCTTTAGATCTAATTCTGAGCCACTTGAAATTAGTTCACACGCTCCTATTCTGTTTCCTTTAAGACCGCTTTTAATAATATCCTTCTATCTCCTCCTAGATCTCTTAGGTGATCTCTTCGCTTCAAGTTTCCCGGCTAAAAAATTATACATTTCTATTCTCTACAATCCATACTACATGTTCTACCAATTTCATCCTCATGTTTAGTGAAGAATTCAAATTATGAAGCTACTTACTGTGCAATGTTCTCTGTCAACCTGTTAGGCCCTACTGCCTTGTCCTTAGGTACAGTTTCCCTCCTCAGTGCCCCTCATGCGCGGTCTCACAAGGCGAGGAACAACGTTTCATACCCATACAGAACGAGAGGTAAATGAGCACAAATATTCAGAAATAAGCTTATGAAAGGAACTATATACCAATAATTTAAGGAAAACGTGCCAAAAAGCTACAGGATGTTCTTTGTTTTGCAGATTCGACATCGGTTCGGCTGTTATGATCAGATAACGGAGGTGGACCGACGCCGCGTGCGTCACTGTAACTGGGTTCGATTCCTGCGAGCCGCTTCCAACTACACCGACGAGGTGAACATGATCGGAACAAAAGTCAAAGGTAAGAGGCACTTGATTGTTAGCGCTGGAACTTGTCGAAACACAAGCATTACAACAACGTCAACACTGCATGAAGGAAGCAGATGCAGGCGTAACGTTACCCGCTGTACAATGGAATTTCCTTAACAACCGAACTTCGGAGAAAGACATATGAATACGTAAATATGAAGAATTATGTTTAATGGAAAGAACATTATTGTCACGTATAAGGTGTTGTCGTGACTAATAATAATGGGTTCTGGATTTGGTGTTTGGATTTATTGGCACTTCTTTATAATTGCAATCAGTTTTTACAACTCACAATCAGTCTTGACGGCCCGAGGCCTCTCTTCATTCTGCTTCTCGTTCAGCGACACTCGAATTCACGAATGCACTGCCTTTATAACTTTCACGCGGACCGAATAGAAGTCACCAAGACCAAGGGTTTCATTACTGTTTCTCATGAATCCATTGTCCCTGAATTCATGTCTTAATTCCCAAGCAACGGTTTGGTTTTTTAAATGTTATCCATTGCTGAGAAACATCTCGTGTTTAGCGACTTGTTACCTAGCAACGACTCATTCTCTGTTTTTCGTTGTAACAAGAACGTGATTTCCGATCCGTTGCTCAGGAATGGACGTGTGCTCCGGCTACATAATTCCAGCTTTCAGCCGTCATATCACAATATTTACATTCTGCATGTGGCTCTATGTATGTGTCATGTAGCTCAGGTGTTTAGACGGTGACTTCTCAAAGTGGAGCTTTGGATTGATTTCATTTGAAATTTGTGATCTAAGAAGTGGCACCGGCCCAGATTTCTCTATGACATTCTTCAGTTTTTCCACGCTAAATATAATTCCACTATTGCACCGTTCCTTCATGTGTGCAATAGTCCAGACCAGGCAGTACCGTGTCACACCCTCAGTCTTTAAGTTGGGATCTTCGTCTCTGACCCGAAATTTTTCTGGTTTCAGTGTACGGTAAAGAGCCGTTTCGTCCCGAGTGCTATATCGTCCCGAATCGTATCGCGTCTGTGTGTGGGATCCTTAAGGAAGTTTTTAATATTTTCTTTACATATACTCATCTCTGATACATATGTTCAACATCCAGGTATCTTCAAATAATCTCTCATGTTACAGCCAAAATTCCGGATAGTCTGCTTATTCCTTTGCCGCATTTGAGTTCGTACAGGATTTTTATTAACAAATCATTAGCCGAAAAGTAATGTTTTGTTCTGTATAATCAGGAAAATTTACAACTCCAGTTCTGCCGTCTGGTCGAGTCAAGTTTCTTTCACTGAGAGTACCACAGACTATATATATGCAGTGCAGACGACGGACGGGCCAGTGTCCGAAAGAGACATGCAGTTCATACCGTATAAAATATTAATTCTAGTACTTAGGCCTAACTTGATCCTGTGGTGTCCTGTGTTGCAGGGGAGCCACTATACGAAACTGTGAAGGCCATTCCTGCCAACTGCGAACTCGTGGTTTACTTCTTGCCAGAGCGACCCGAGGAAATCTTCTTCGTCCCGGCAGTTCATTACCTCCGCAACTCTCTGTACCGCCGTACCATGGACACCATCCTGGAAGGTAAGGCACACTACAGGCATGGTCGGTTCATATTTCCTGTACCAACTGCTGTGAATGTTTGGTAAATTAAAATGTACTATAAAGAGTTATTTCTTCTGGAATATAACGCCCTATTGTCCGATGAAATTGAACGTACGATTCAGAGGACTGAATCATCTCTATCCTCAGGATCGAAGCGTAATTTAAGCAAGAAACCAGCAAGAAGCAAGCAGGAATCAGAGCTTTGCTTTTCTGCTTATTTTATGCTAGTCTATCCTACTCTTCGATGTAGGCGATATGTTCCTCCGAAACGTACGAGTATATCCACTTTTACCGGACTACACAGCGTTATATCCCAGAAGGAAGAATACTTCATGTCCACCGCTGTGAGAACCTGAACTCAAACACAGAACACGTTTTAGTGTTGTCGGTTTGTATACTCTATACACAATTCCCAAGTTTGAGGACCACCTATTTTCTTTTATTTGTAAAGCAGTCACCTGGAAGATCAAGAAGGAAACGTGACTGTAACATTTAAGTTGATGTTGGGAAATATATTAAGTTGATGGCAAAGGTAAAAATATGCACAACTATCCCTGGACTTAATTACTACGAAGAATTGTGTGGTTGTGGAGGTATAGCTCCACCATTCTTACCAGCGGCGCCAAATGGGGTGAATAATCAGATTCATGACCACGCCCCTTTACCTCCTCCCGGAAGAACAGCGCCAGTACCCATTTTACGGGAGTATGTGTGGTCCCTGACCCTGTATAGACGCTATAAAGGGAGAAATTCTCTTGCCCCTACCGGAAATCGAACCCCAAATCCTTGGCGGTTCAGCCTGCAGCCTAGTCGCTATGCCATCTGAGCTATCCCGGCTCCACGGTCGGTAAGTGATACTGGGTCAGCGAGCGGTGTTAGCTGCATTAGACCTTGGAATGTCCACAATGTCTTCACATTCATGTTTCGTATCCCGACAGAAGACCTGGCCGCTAGCTTCATCTCCAGCACCATGGTCTGTCTCAGGGCTTCGTTGTTTCCCTGTCATAGCTGTATCAGACCTCGGTCCCTTATGCCATTGTCGCATTTCGGCTGCCCCCGACGTCTCTTCTAGAACGTCCGTCGTTTAAGGGTTCCGAGTACAACATTGTCCTTCGTCCGCCTTTTCCTGTATCCCACGGTCACTCGCTGGTCTCCAGATCGGTCCTTCGGTGCTCCAATTGCCTCCACTGCGGCCTCTTCTTTAGGAACTTTCTGACGTTCCGCCAGAGCCTCAATTTCTTTTGGAATTGCCTCCCGCTTCTTCGTACAGACCTTCCTTTCTTCTCGCCAGGAATTCATCTTTTGTAAGATGGCACTTATAGTGGATTTCATTTCTGCTTGGTCAGTCTTCATTTCTACTTTCATCTCTTCTTTGTTGGCTTTAATTTCTTCTTAAATTTCCTTTACATTTGCCCCCGTCTTCGCTTGGTTGGCTCTTATTTCAGCCTTCGTTTCGTCTGTCACTTCCTCGTGGCCGACATTCGTTTCACCATCTCTTCCATCATTTGTGTCACTTCCTGTGATATGACGATATAACAATCTAATTCACATTCCAATCAAATGATCCGATCAATCCAATCCAAATTCTGACACCACTTGTCACATGAGAAGACTGTGATTATATAAAGGGTTTGAATTGGTAGTCGGATTTATTGGACACTTCAGCACACAACTCGTAACTACACTTTATGAATCACTATCACACACAGCCTAGTGTTCTCAGTCATGATCTTCACTGCGTTGCTTGGTAGCGGCTTCTTATTGTGGACTGTCTCCGGCCTTACCTACCAGGTTTTGCAACTCTCAACTAACTGTCTGCTTGCCGACTGTTTCTGTCGAATGACTCCTAATCAAATCAAAGTCAAATTGTGGCTGACAGTCAGTCAGTCTTGGTGTCGAGCCCCATTTGGGGCTCATGACTAGATATTAGTTACTGTTTGGTAGTTACTGTCTTGTCATTGTGGGTCGCCCTCTCTGAAGAGAGCTGACTCTTAATGGCAGCTGGTCGTAGTTATACATAACTTCGGCATGGACCGCACAGAAAACACAACTTCCAACATTTACTCCGTTGTTGCATGAGCACGTTGCTTAGCGATGGATCTGGTGTGGATGCGTGCTTACAAAGCTGTTGTCTGGCAACGGGCTTGTTCACAGAGCCGTTTCTTAACAACGGCTCTCCGTGCTTGGCTTCACAATTCTTGCTTTGAGCAAAGATGTCACGGTATGAGAAACAAAGGTGAATCTGACTAGATCGGGATTGCATCCCAGTGTTTACCTGGATTGGCTGAAGAAAACCACGAACAACTTCAGTCACGTTAATTGGTGTTTCGGCCGAAATTCGAAAAGAGCGGCTTCAGAATATGAGTGGAGTGCTACCGCTGCACCAACCCTCTCGGTGATGCATCGCCTGAACTGCAAACGTCATCCTGTGTGGGTGTAAGAATGTGTAGCCGAACTATGAAGTAGAGCTGATCATTTATATAAATATTTAAAAGTAAATGGGTTAGGTCTTCATGAGCTCTATGTTCTGTAACTTTATTATGGCCTGCTTTTTTCATACAATAAACAGTTTTGATAGAAATGATAAGTTCTCTTTGAATTTATACAATACAATTTTTTTGCTTCTCAACATGTGAGGAAATTAATAACGCAGTTGGAGAGATTACTGTGTCTAGAAAAAGCTAGATAGACCTCATACAGGGCAATTTCTTAAACTAGAACCCATTGATAGAATTGTTAATGTCATACATCAGTGGGTTAGGACCACTTTGGTGAAACTGTTACGCTCAGAATGACGATTTTTTTAATGAGAACTTGATTCAAAGTAAAGCATTTGCAGTACATCTTGTACCAAAAATTTATGAAAGTATGCACCAGCATACACAACCGAGCACGAGGAGACATGATCGTAAACACTGCTTGCAGTGCCATGGGTGTAGTGATGTTGGATATCTTGTTTTACAATCCGCCCAGGATGCGGAGTTACTGCTGTGTACCCTGTCTTAATGCAGTCTCCCCGAAAATTGTGGTTGTGTTAAATCCGGCAAATGTGGGTTCAGAATTCTCTCGAAATAGATCAGTTTTAGGCTCGTCCACATTACTCGTGCTCGTGCTCGTGTGACTCGCTATGCTCCCGAGTAATGTGGACGATATGACAAGTCACGAGACAAGCAAATTTTAAATTTAAAAACTATAGCCAATAAATTAAAATACGACTACAGCCTATACACACTACGAGCAGATATACGGATCCTCACGCTCCGAAGCCTGGCGAGCAACTGAAGTAGTGCGGATGAAGATTTACGAGCACATGTAAAAGCCAGATGAGTCCCCCGACGAGCAAAAGCCTGGCGAGCACGAGCACGAGTAATGTGGACGCGCCCTTTGAATAAGAGTGTTACCTCGCTTTTAGTCGTACGGACAGGAGGCAAAAGGTAGCATAGTTGGTTCAGGCACTGTATCACAAGCCCCAAGGTCGCGGTTCGATTTCTGATGAGGTCATTAGATTTTTCAATTGGTGTAATCTTTCCTGCCGCACTGTGGTCCTGGGGTTTGACTCAGCCTCTAACAGAAATGAATATCAGGAATCTTCCTGGGGGTAAAGGGCGGCAGGCGCGTAAGTCTGACAACTTCATCGCCATCTATGAGCCGATTGTCTAGAAAATGTGGGACCTTGACGTCTCACAATCCTATGGGCCTCTACGGCCTGTTACAGGGATACCTTTACTTTTTAGTCCTCCGAAATGTACGAAATGTTGCGGTGACCCGGGTCGCTTAATACATAGCGTTATTAGCATTCCGAACATGGGATTCTCCTTCAAAAACTACCCCGTAATTAAAGCGAATGAGGAGAGCTGAATATGGAATTAATTTTAAATCTAAGGGAAGGGGACTAAGGGGAATACCAAGAAGAATTCTGGAGGTAATTATGAAGCCGGCACAGGCAGTATGTCTCGTAACCTATGAGGACAAGAAAATACAAGGTAAAGGTTAGACCTATACCCATGCGACCCATGTGAATGAAATAAAAAAAAAACAAAAACAAAAAACTCCGTGGTTTTAGTCCGCAAGCGAATTATACCGACCGAGCAACCGCCGCTTGTCGGCGAAATTAGTACCAAGTTTAGCTGACAGAGGGTGTCGCGTGCTCAGCGCAACAGACCCCCAAGGCCATTAATTTCGATTTTCTAGACCGGAGCTGCTATTTCCTTGAAATAGCTCCTCAATTATCTTCACGAGGCTGAGTAGACACCGTTCCAAACCCACTACTTCTCAGAAAATCTGGTAGCTCCGTGAATCGAACCCAGACTTCGGGATCAGTAGCCAGGAACTCTGACAGCTAGACCACAGAAGCTGTCGAACGAAATATAAATTCGTTCTTAAATTGTAGCTTGCACTTCCAGTACATAATTTCATCGAAATCCGTTGAGTTGTTTCCGAGATGAAACATCCAGAAAGACGTACATTAGTTGCTCATTATACATTTATTGTTATATACTTCTTGTAGAGAAGAGATGAAGAATGGGTGAGTGTGACGTGTATCCTGGTAGTCTATAGCTTTATAATATAATCAAACTCGCATGAACAATAGCAAGGCGCCTGTGATTGGTACAGGCAGCAAATAATTACAATTTCCATGACGATGGGGAAGTGTGAGGTGGCTCCGTCAGCGCTGCTAGAGGCAAGTTAACGAGGTTCAATTGTTTGTGGCGATTCGTCACGCACGAGGTCCTTCAGCTGCTCCCAAGATTGAAATTCTCGTCTTCACAAAATAAAACAAGTCAGTGATCTGATGCCAGCAATTACATCACCTATACACTTTTTATCTATTTCTGGAACTTTCATCATTGGACGAGACACGGATAAATTGTTTGTTTACACATTTTTTAAATAGTAAAAAAAAAAAAGGTTGCGGTGGGGTGGTATATTCATTTATTTTTGTTAATGACTTTTGAGAACCGAAACTAGAACGAATTGCA